TGGAGGAGGACAGACCAAATCTGACTAAACTTCCCCTTTCGATGGCGGGACACCACTATTAAATACCTGGGTGTGAGGCTCACGGCTGACCTATCCAAACTATACCATATGAATTTCACCCCACTGCTGGGAACCATATGGAAGAATCTGATGGAATGGGCCACACCTCACTTTTCCTGGCTTGGCAGGGTTGCCATCGCCAAAATGAACATTCTCCCACGGGTACTTTACTTATTCCAGACACTACCAATCTCACTCCCTACCACCTTCTTCTCAGCAATCCGCACCCTCCTCATTAAATTTATCTAGAAGGGTACTAAACCCAGACTCCAATACACACAACTGACACTCCCCAAAACAGCGGGAGGCCTGGCCGTTCCTGACCTCAAATTGTATTACCAAGCACATGCAACGGGCCCTGGAATGGGCAAAAGAGGGGATTAGCAAACCCTGGAAGGGCATCGAAACACACCACGCAGGCAGGCCCCTTTCAGCCCTTCTGTGGCTGGACCCCACGACTGGTAGACAGTCTACCAACAACCCTTCATCACCGCCACTCTAACCATATGGCACTCACAAGCACAAGCGAGGTCTCTCCTCCTTCCCATCCTCACTATTACCTCTGGTGTACAATCCGGACTTTGAACCGGGGATAAGACCAGGAAACCTCCGATGCGTCCTCCCACAAACTCCCAGACATAACTGCCAATGGGAAAATCTTGCCCCTACGGACGCTCACGGGCACACCCACCCACCTACCCCTTCATGACGACATTTAGATACACCCAAATTAAGAACTACATTACCACCATACCACAACACCCCGACGTGTACAGGGACCTTACGCCATTCGAACAGTTGTGCCAGGACCCAGAGCCCATGCCCCATAGCATTTCCTACCTCTACTCTATGCTACAACGACAACAGGGACACCCCCCACCCCCCTTCATGTCCAAACGGGAGACCGCCGTAGGGGAAACACTCACCGAGACCCAGTGGCACAAGATCTGCGACCTAGTGCATCATTGCGCAATCGCTTGCAAAACTCAGGAAACTGCTTACAAGGTCCTCACGCAATGGTACCTGACACCAGAATGCTTACAGAGAATGCACTTAGACACGGACGGCCTCTGCTGGAGGTGCAAGAGAGGGGTAGGATCCTTCCTCCACATATGGTGGGAATGCCCACTCATAGTACCGTTCTGGGAGAAAATAGCTGCCATAGTGGCCCTGTTCACAGACAATGTCCCACCCTTCCAGCCCGCCCTTTACCTCCTGCACCACACGACAACCCCCACACCATGATACAAATGCTCCCTCACCATCCGAATTCTTAATGTCGCAAAACACCGAATACCTTTGTACTGGAAAAAAGACACAACCCCAACGCTTTCCCTGTGGTTTACTAGAATGGAGGAGTTACGAGTTACAGAGGAGATCTGGTATACAGCCCAAGAATGAGCGCAGACATACTTAGACACATGGACACCCTGGCTGGCATGGGTGGGAACGGAGGCATTTCGGACTGTGTATCTGACCATGGTGGGAGGAACTGACAATCCCCAGGAGGAGACACCAGGAGACTAACAGGACAACCCACACCTGCCCTCAAAGCACAGTACCACAGTACATACCCTACCCCACCCCTCTACCCCCTGTCAGGTCCGGGCGTAGCGTGGGCTCGGGGGACCGCGGGCGGTGCGGAGGTCGGCCCCACGGGGGCGTACTGCGGGGGCTATGACACCTGTCAAGGTGCGGCCGCTTGCAATACCCAAAACGGCCTACGGCCTTGCGGGTGCAGGGTGTGGAAGCGCACCAGTTTCGTGAGCTACAAAGTTTTTTAGTTTAGACGGAAACGCAGGATGCCCCTTAGGTTATCCCCATCAACGCCATATGTAGTTCTGGGCAGAGCCGAATCGTACTAAAGTAGGGGGTCAACACCCCACTATACCGCCATTCAGGATTCTAGACACGAGGTCACAAGTGGTCTGCGTGTCCTGATGGGACCCTACACATTAGGAGGCCCACGTCTCACTACTGCCTTGTGGGCACGGGGGAATAGACGAAAACCTGCAGGAGCTACAAACCTACCCAACGTAGAAATGGTACACACTTTAAACATGAGAGTACTATTCATAACTATGTACTACCGGACCTGCGAGTCCACCATACACACGCCATTTATTCAAAAAGCGACCTGCGAGTCGCCAATACACGTCTTACAGACCGTACCTTACGATGTATAAGCATATACAAATAACCAAAGGGACCTGCGAGTCCACGTTTTTCTTTTCCATGTAAAAAAAAAAAAAGTTCAATAAAAACATTCACAAAAAAAAAAAAAAACTAGAGTGGGAGTTGGCAAAAGCAGAAAAATCAGGACATGATTTCTAAACTGCCACCACTCCCTCATTTTCAAGCCCACTTACACAAATCTTATATAAAAATGTTCAGCTATACCTGCTGCCACTAAACATGTCCATGGCTAAGCCATAGTCCTGATAGTTTTCACAATATGACCATTTGTTTGCAACTCACGCCGTCCATTGACATTCAGTGAAACTCCACTCTAGCCAGCTCAAATTTGAAGGGCAATTTCTAAACTGTGACTGTGCCTTCATTTATAATATTTCAGAGACATACTATGCATCAGACTCAAATACACACAACTGACACTCCCCAAAACAGCGTGAGGCCTGGCCGTTCCTGACCTCAAATTGTATTACCAATCATGCCACATGCAACGGGCCCTGGAATGGGCAAAAGAGGGGATTAGCAAACCCTGGAAGGCCATCGAAACACACCACGCAGGCAGGCCCCTTTCAGCCCTTCTGTGGCTGGACCCCACGACTCATTGAAACTCCACTCTAGCCAGCTCAAATTTGAAGGGCAATTTCTAAACTGTGACTGTGCCTTCATTTATAATATTTCAGAGACATACTATGCTTCAAAATGTAGGTCTGGGTCTTGTGATTCTCACAATATAAAGCTCTTCGCTGTAGGATTTATAGTTTTTAAAACACGACCGTTTGAAGATGGAACATCAAAAATACTCTGACCTGTGCCAGGCTGGAGCAGCAAGTGATGCCATAGACAGGAACTTTTGTACACCTGCTAATGTTTTTATAAATGTATGCTTTAATGTAACTGTGAAGCACTTTGGGCAACAACGTTGCAATTAAATGTGCTATAGAAATAAATAATAAGTTACCAAGCCCACTATCAGTTGTAGACTACTGATGGAGGCAAGAACACTTCACACAATTTCCCCAGAAATTGTAGCTTTTCTAGTTGTGATTTCTATTTGTTAATTCGTCTTTCTGATGAATAGACGAATAGCTGAAATTTGTTCCGAAATTCGGACAAAAGCGAACACCCGCGTCTAGAACTGGGCATGTATGCAAATTTCACTGTGCGAGCTAGTGTGGGCAAATGAAGGCCCTGCGGTACACGTGATCCATGAATACAAAGATGGTGGCGCCTAGGACAAAAAAAAAAAAGCTGTGATTTATATTCGGATATTTAAATGGTACTTGAAGCACCATCACCACTACACTGATGTAGTGGTGATGGTGCTTCAAGTACCTTTTAAATATCTGAATTTAAAGCAGTTGTGATTTTGTTAAAGGGACACTATAGTCACCTGAACAACTTTAACTTAATGAAGCAGTTTTGGTGTATAGAACATGCCCCTGCAGCCTCACTGCTCAATCCTCTGCCATTTAGGAGTTAAATCCCTTTGTTTATGAACCCTAGTCACACCTCCCTGCATTTGACTTGCACAGCCTTCCATAAACACTTCCTGTAAAGAGAGCCCTGTTTAGGCTTTCTTTATTGCAAGTTCTGTTTAATTAATATTTTCTTATCTCCTGCTATGTTAGTAGCTTGCTAGACCCTGCAAGAGCCTCCTGTATGTGATTAAAGTTCAATTTAGAGATTGAGATACAATTATTTAAGGTAAATTACATCTGTTTGAAAGTGAAACCAGTTTTTTTTTTTCATGCAGGCTCTGTCAATCATAGCCAGGGGAGGTGTGGCTAGGGCTGCATAAACAGAAAAAAGTGATTTAACTCCTAAATGACAGTGAATTGAGCAGTGAAATTGCAGGGGAATGATCTATACACTAAAACTGCTTTATTTAGCTAAAGTAATTTAGGTGACTATAGTGTTCCTTAAAGCATTAACGAAAAGTTCTACTAAAGTAAAAAGTTCTTCTAAAGAGCACCATTGCATACCGCTGCTCAAATTATGTGAAAACAACAAAATGGAAAAACCTGCAATGCAGTGTTAACTGAGCAGGAATGTTGCCTCTCTTCTGAGCTCAACTGAGAAAAGAGATATGTAAAACACTCAGCAAAACTCCACTGAGTCGAACTTTGCTGGGAGGCTTGAATTCTGAAGCGTGCTGTTGGTAAATTAACGGATGATCAGAATGCAAAATTCTATTTTTACTGCATTCCTTGTGGGAATTGAGTAAAAGCATCCCAGTAATGTCAGTCTGCCTCTGGCTTTTTATGTTTCCATGTATTGTGTATTGATTTTTATTGCTGCGTTAAAGGCATCTCTGTTTAATTGTGTTTAATTTAGTTATGGGGAAAAAAATCCCAACAAAACAATCTACCAAATTAGTTTAACAACTGGAAAGCATTTTGAGCCAT